AAAATTTCCTTTTTGGTCTTGTGTAACATTGGCGACGAATAGGAGTAGGGTTACACAATTCAAATGACTTATTTATATGGTTAATCTAAACATAACGCCCACGTGATTGCAGTGTTTTTAAATATATAGATTAATTATAATTAAGTAAAATCACATATTATATTACAAGCAATACCAAGTTTTATTTTACAATAAAAATTTAAGGAGTTTAATTTTTAGTTAAATGAAATTTTTTTTTTATATTTAAAGATTATATATTAATAATGAAGAAATAATATTAATAATATTTTAACTATTACAAATAATCAAATTATATTTTTAACTTTTAAATTCTTATATTATAAATAGCTTAAAAGTGTAATTATATATAAGCTTGCCTTTGTTTACTTTAAAGAATTAAAGTAACAAGTAGTTATAAAAAGAATTCTTAATATTATTAAGTAATTTAATAATAATCCAATAAGAGAGATTTTTTATTTTATTTTTCTTAATATCTATTATTTTTTAATTTTAAATACTTTGTATATTTATTTATAAATTTTCAGCATTTTATGAATTTATTAATATCTATGTTAAAGATTGATTAAAAGTGATTTTAGTTGGAAAAATTATTAGATATATTAATTAAAGACATTTTAAAGCAAAGCAAAACATTAATACAGAGACTAAAATGAAAAGAGTAGTATTATTTCAAAGGAGAAATAAAGCATGAATAATATATGAGTGGTCAAAAATGCTTTAATTTGGAAATAATAGACAAGATACGAACAAATTATAAATCGAGATAATCAATGTTGCGAGTTTCTAACATTACAATTATTACAATTATTGCAGGACTAACAACAAATAAAACGACGTTAAAAATATATATATATATTAATATATATTTGGTATTATCTGTTATTCGAACATCCTTTTTTGTACTTTAAAGCTCTTAACGAAGAATACGATCTGTTTTATTCCTCCTTCTATTATTTATGAAATAACCTTCTTTTGTTGTATATAAAATAAACATTTCTTTTTAAAATGTTTCTCATAAAATATTTTTAACGTTTATTATATATTGATAGTTAATTGAAATTGCTTTCATCCAATTGTTTTAAAGACTGAAAATTTGAAATAACAACATTGAAAAAAAATTTAATATAATACTATTATACAAATACAAGAAATTTAAAAATCTTCAGAGAGAAAAGTATAGGGTCAAAATACACAATCGAGTGTAACAATCGTAGCAATATCAACTAGTGCCATGTTTGATATTAATGTACTCATAATAATAAATTTTTTTATGTGAGCTGCACACAAGTTATATATTTTTAGTCTTGGAGTTTCAATTTTCAGTGCATCTTTGTTGATCCATTAATCGTTAAACAACGCGTTTACATGGTTTTAACATCATGCTTTTTTTTCACTCGAGCATATGTTATTTATTATCACAATTTAGTCGTTCACTTATTATATTACAGAATTATATATTAGGATAAATTTCCCAATTTTACCAAAAAACAGAATTGAAAATTTCTGCCACCTTGTACGAAGGTACTGCCAAGTGCCAATGTAAATTTATCAATAATGAAAAAAAAAAGATTAAAGAGTGAGCTGATAAATTAGCTAGAGTTTCTAAATATGAAACCACTTGCACTACTTGCACTAGAAAAGAGCGATAATTTTAATGCTTCGATATGTTAAATTTTTTAAGTTTACTTCTGACGAGTGTAATCAAATAAATATGGAGAGTTATTAGCTAAGTGATATAAATCAGAAAAGTCAAAAGTGAATTGTAAAAAAAAAAAAAAGGATATTTATTTAATGTAACAATTTAAAATATTGTATTAAAAAACTTTTGATAGTAATCGCCTATTCTATTAATAATACAATCTATGTTATCCTCCCAATTGTTTGAAATTAATTTACAAAAAATTACAATTGAACAGTTTATTAATAAACTAGACTTAAATCTATCTAAACGATTATTTTCATAACATTAATTACTAAGTTTCGTTCATCTAATAAATAAATTAATTAATTCTTTTTAGTTTTAATTTTCGGTAAAGTTGGATCAATATCTAAATATTCAGCAGTAAAAATTCTAAATATATTGTTTAGATTAAAAAAAACTGAGTGATCTACGGCTGTAGCATTATCCTAAAATTAAATAAATTAAAATATTATTTTTACGTTTCTCAGAAAAATACGACTCTTTCTCTAATAATATTATAATAATTATACTTACAGAAAGTTTATGCCAACAATCAGGGAATGGCCAAGGAATAACATGTAAAACAGGAACGCCTCTTATTAAGAAAGGAATATAATCATCTTCAATATGAGCTTGATAAGATTGTAAGGAATCGGTATCAAAATATGTAACATCTTCTAAACTGTCTCCCACTGGCATTCCAATCATTTTATGTTTATGTTGTGTAAATTTAATTAATTTATTCTTATATAAACGAGCTTCAATTTCAAGCAACTCCATAAATAACCATGAAGTTATTGGAAAAAAATTTGGTATATATGGCTCAGGGGCGCCTAATAGATCCAATAATACAAAGACTTCAATACCGCTAAGTAAATTATTGCCTTTATTTTGTGTACTTCCTGTGTCAACAACATATGTATTTTCCCATTTAGTTGCCAAATGCCTTTAAAAAAAAAATGAATAAATAATTATCAATAATTTAAGAATAAAAATATTATAATTTTTTCATTTCATACCTTGATCCGTATAAAGAATCTGTAGAAGTCCAGTCTTTAAAAGCTTCTTCACCATCAAAGAAAATAATTTGAAGTGTTTTAGAAACGGAATTAGGATCTCTATTATCAAAATAGGGATCCAATCTATATGCTAAATCCATTAAAATAGCACAAGATACAGCTGAATCAATAGCACCAATGAATCCATCATTTGGTGGTTCAAAATATTTTGAATCATAATGAACAGCTAATACAAGTCTATTTTTTGCATTAATATCTTTTGTTACGATTATATTATTAAAAGAAATTTCTCCTATTGGCGTTGAATCTGTAAATTTATCTTCTTCTACGTTCCATCCTAACGTTTGAAAATGATCAATAATATATTTTTGTACTTTAAGATTTCCTTCGCTACCAGATACTCTAGGAACTAATAATGGTATCAAAAAATCTTGAGCGACTTTTTGAGCTTCAATTTCTGTTAAGTTTGTTAAAATAGAAAATCCTTCATCAGATAATTGCGTATAGGCATTTATCCACTGACAAAAACATAAAAATATAATAAAAAGTTTCAATTTTAATTTTATCATTTTAAAGATTTTTAAATATTAATTTTTATTTCTATAATTATAATGACGTTCTAATTTTTTTTAAAAAAAAAAGAAAATATAAAACCGAAACATAAGCCCTGCTTAAAATATTTATGTATAATTTTTTGTAATGTCACACAGTTACACTCAGGGTATGTCACATGATATGTTTTCAATGCCGGTAATGCCATAATGCCGATACCCGATAATTTGGTAGCGATTAGTGTAGTGATCATAATGCCGGCCAGCACTATACTTTTGAATTTTTTTCGATTTTTTTTAGTATGGTTTTCAATAAAATCTTTTGGGTTAGCTTGGTTAGTTTTTTTCATAGTTATCCAAAAGTTTATGTAACTTATTGCGTCAACAGTAAGCCACTGCGTAAATCACTGCGGGTTGTTTAACTGTTACACTTTATTCAGCCCGTATACGGCTTATCATTACTATCATTATTAATTATAAGGTAGTCGTGTTCCTCAATTCGAAATTCTTTTTTATTCTTATAAATTTTTCTTCATTGGAAATGTTTTTTGATTTTCCATTTGATGTAATAGTTAATATACTCGATTTATTAACAATACAAGATATAGTAAAATTAAGATTAGTTAATAAATCGTTTAATAATTTAGTGAAGGAATATGGATTTAAATTATACTTTACAAATCAAAAATGGAATATGATAATATCCAACATTAATTCGAAAAAACACAATAACCCTTCTTCACCTACTTCTTTAAATGACAATTGGCAACAAAAAGTTTCATTTGGATATACTACACAACAAAATTGGAAGAAAAAATTCTTTTCTTCAACGATTATAACAAAATATCATGGACAATCATTAATCCCAACATTAAAATTTGATAAAGAAAAATTATTATTAAGCATAGGAAATTCTATTGAAATATATTATTTTAATAAAAATTCTTATGGGGATTTTAATAAAAAAAAAAAATCAGAATGGTTTATCTCGCATAGTAATGATATTACGGATATTTTATTAGGTGAAGGTATTGATGATGAGATCTTATATACTTGCTCAGTAGATTGTACTATAAAAAAATGGGAATTAAATAATAACAACAATAATAATAACAATGATAATTATAATAATAATCGACAATATAACTTAACTCCTAAAAAACAATTCAAAGGACATCGGAGTTCGGTGCAATCAATTTACCAATTTCCAGATGATCCAATAAATTTATATTCTGTTGGTTTTGATGAAACATTAAGAATGTGGAATACTGAAACAACCCAGGATAAAATGGAAATTTCATTACCTGGTAGACCAAGAGTTATTCATGGATTATCTTCAAAGAATAAATTAATTGGTGTGGGAAATAGAAGTAAAGAAAATTTTACTTTATATTACGTTACACCAAATGATTTTGTTAAATACGCTACGGGAATAAAGGATCATCAAAGTACTGTTTATGCCATAGCTTCGAATCCAAATTTACCAAATACCTTTGTAACCGGATGTTACGATGGTATCTGTAGATTGTTTGACGTTAGAACAATGCATTGCGTTGCCTCTTATAGAGATCCTTATGACTATCATCCTGGTGAGTGATTTATTCTTTTCCGTTCTTATTTGAAAAAGTAGTATAACTTAAATTATATAAATATATATATATTTTTAGTATTTTCTGTGGATTACGATGCTTATAGATTGGCAGCTGGCGCTAACAGAAACGGCATTATCAGGATTTTTGATTTACGCTATAATAAACATAATCATGATAATCATCAAGAATTAAAGAAAGGTGCCAGGAAAAACGATGGCTGGTCTCTTTATCTTGGAAACAATCGTTCTCCTGTTTATTCGTTACAGGTAAAATTTATTATTTTTATCTTTGTGAATTCTTTTTTTTTTACAGATTGTTTAACATATTTGTAATTTGTTTTTTAATACTATAGATGGATCATTCAAGAATATTTGCTGCGTTATCAAATATGATATGGATGTTAGATTTTTCTAAATACAAATTGAATTATAGTAATAATCATAATAATCCATGTTTACATTATACTCATGCTAAAAATTGGTTAGGCTGATTAAAAATTGTGCGTTATTTAGCAAATATTAATAATAATAATAATATAAAAAAAATAGATTATAGATTTAAAATAGTTTGTATAATAATTTAATAAAATTGTGATACAAATGGCTTCTTTCTTTTTGAAACAGTATGAAGTGTGAAAATCCGAAAATCCATAATTAATGAGTTATGAATCTGTGACATAAATTACCCTCCTCGTTTGATCAGTTTTGACCAGAATTACGGTACAAGTAAGATGATATGTGACGAAAAAGAAAACAACGAAATTTTTTATGATAATAACGAAATTTGAGTAACGTTACAATTTCGAATGGGCGAAAAAAGATGAAACTCGTATCGTATAACCAGGATTATTCAAAACAATCCAACTTGAACTTAATTAATGATATTTACCCGATTTATTAATTAAATGTCCATATTTGGTAATGAAAGTAAATTGCGGTACAATTTCAGATTTCTTGTACTACAACGTTCGTACCATAATTCCATAAAGTCCAAACAAATCATTTAAATAAACAAATAATTGAACTCGAAAAAAGAATTAACTTATCTAAATTACAATTATCCGAAATCGGCTATAAATAAGTTACATCACAAGTATGCAAGGGAAATACAAAGCATACGCGTTTTTAGTGGATATTTTATATTTTTTTCTTTTTAAAGGGAAATGATCGGTTTCAATTCCATTTATAACTTAATACAATAAAGAAAAAAAATTTAATAATATGTAACAAAGGATTTTTTTTTTTTTGATGCGAGAAAGAAATTTGATTTTCTTGTGTAATACGGATCATACAATCGCTTATTATTCAAAGTTACAAAGCCTAGTATTTTCGTTATTATTGTTTTTTATTAAACCATACCATAAAAATCTATAAATACCCATCGAAATCATGAAAATGTATACTTTTTGTAGTTGGTTTTTGCAATTACAGTTCCTATAACTAAACGCTAATTCCATTTCATTCATTTCCCTGGAGGAAAAAAAAAAGACCAATATATTTATAAAAAAAAAATATTATACTTATATATTTTAATAAAAAAAAAACCATTAAAAAATATATTGGTCTTTTTAAGAAAAAAAAACTTCTCCCCAAAAAGAAAGATAAATTTAGTTTTATTCTTTCTTGAACTTTTTTTTTCTTTTTCCTTCAATATCAATACCATCCATTTGATAATAACCCAAAATAAATCATATATATATACTAAAAAAAATACGCCTGGAGCGATATTCATATATATAATTTACATCATACTAAATAATAATAATAATTTAATTACATCATTAAACTCCTCTTAAATACAATCATGAAAGCTTCAAGCAAATTAATTTTAACAATTTTGGGTTATTATTTAACATCAACTCAAATAACTTCTGCTTCAATAAAAATAAAAAAATTTTCCACATCAAAAATCACTTTACACAAACCTGCTCCTGACGTAGTCCCAAATTCTTATATATTAGAATTTAATGGCGATCAACTTAAAAGCCAATCAGAATCATCATCGGAATCATTTATCAATTCATTTGTAAAATCGATTGAAAATGAAGGCATAAATTATAAAGTTAGAGAAACTTATAGTAGTCAAAAAGTATTTAATGGAGTTTCTATTAAGCTTGACGATGATAAAGATATCAATAAAATTAAAAAATTAAAATGTGTGAAAAATGTTTGGCCTGTGGTAAGTAATAGTTGTATTTTGTGCACATGAACACTTGGTTTTTAGTTTTCTTGAATATTTATTTATTTATTTGTTTGTTTGTTTGTTTGTTTTTTTAGGTAAAAATTCAACGAACAGAAGCTAAATTTGAGGAAGAAAACAATTCAACTTCACAAAATTTTCGCAATTTTGTTGGTTTGGATGAATCAGATAATGACGTACTTGATGGTTCAAATATTAAGGTAAATAATTATTCAAAAATTTTCAAAATTAATTTTCTTCTTTTTTTTGCATCTTTTGTTTACCCTTTTTTCTGTTACTTCTTTTTCCCTTGTAATTAAACAGGTTGGAATTTTAGATACGGGTATTGATCACAAACACAAAGCTCTTGGAGGATGCTTTAAAGGTGAAGGTTGTAAAGTACAATTTGGTTTCGATTTCGTTGGAGACGATTTTAATGGATCAAATGAACCAAAACCCGATGATGACCCTTTAGATGAATGTGTTGGTCATGGAACACATGCAGCTGGTATTATTGCTGGCGAAGATTCAACTAATAACATTACTGGTATTGCTCCTAAAGCTATACTTGGAGCATATAGAATTTTTGGATGTAATGGAACAACTACAAATGACATTGTTATTAAAGCGATGGAAAAAGCTTTTGATGACGGAATGAATATTATTAATCTTTCACTCGTATCTGGTAATAACGCTTGGTTTGGAACTCCTGAAAGTCTCGTTGCTGAAACATTAACACAAAATGGAGTATTCGTTGTAGCACCTGCAGGAACTTCTGGTGATAATGGAATTTTTAAAGTTTCTTCCCCATCAACAGCTCCTGGAGTTATTTCTGTTGCGTCCATTGATACTGATCAAGTTAATTCTTTCTTTATTCAATCAAGTTCTGATCCTAATCTTAAAATTAAATATCTTACACAAAATGGAAAACCCATTAAACTTGTAGATTCTTTCTCAATTGTTCCAACTTCAAATGTGACCAATTCAAAAAATGATGCTTGTGATGCTATTAATGAAGATCTTACAGGAAAAGTTGCTTTGGTTCGTAGAGGAGGTTGTGATGATACGACAAAGATTGACCAAATTCGATTTGCTGGAGCTTCAGCTATTGTTATTTATAATGATGCTAGTGGAATCTCAACACCTCAATTTAATAGCGAAGGAATTTCAACCCCTGTTGGTATGATTTCTTGCGAAGATGGAATAACTTTATTTAATCTCATACAAAAAAACAATAATTTAACCGTTCAGTTTCCTAATGAAAGCGTATTGATTAATGATCCAGGCACGTTAAAAACTTCAAAATTTAGTTCTTTTGGACCAACAAATGAATTAGAAATTAAACCTGATATTGCAGCACCTGGAAAAGATATCAAAAGTATTTTCCCTGTTTCCCTCGGATCTATTAAGACTATTTCAGGAACAAGCGTTTCAGCTCCTTTCATAACTGGTGCTTTAGCATTATATTTACAAAGTCAAAAAGAATCAAAACCTGAAATTATCCGTAATGTTCTTCAAATTAACACCAAACCAATAACTTTTAAAAATGACATAGAAGGAAACAAAAATTCTCTTATAGCGTCAACGATTCTTAAACAAGGTTCTGGTTTAATTAGTTTATCTAATGCATTATCTTCAACGATCATGACATCTCCATCAAAACTTGCACTTAATGATACAGATAATTTTAACGGAAAAAAACGATGCCTTACTTTAACAAATATTGGTAAAGAAACAACAAAATTTACTTTTAACCATTTGCCCGCTCAAACAATCAATGGTTATGATGGAATAAATTTGGTTCCGGCAAATTCACCAATCACAACAAATTCTTTTGCTAATGTTAAATTTTCAAAACTTTCAATTCGTTTACGTCCTGGCGAATCTCAAGATATTAATTTAAGTTTTACTCCTCCCAAAGAAGAGAATGAAATCAATAATTCTCTTTATTCCGGTTATATAGTTATTACGGATAGTACTACAAAAAAGAGATCTTACGTTTCTTATATGGGTATGAAAGGTAGCTTAAAATCTTTACCAATACTTGATGATCAATCTGGTGCTCCTTTTATTCAATCTGGTAAAAATGATCAAAAATTCACTTCACCTGAAGAAGTTCTAACTGTATCAATGAAAGATGATGATATTGTACTTTTGGGTGCACGTATGGCCCAAGGAACAAAAATTCTTACCGTAGATGTAATACCCGCTGAATCAGATGATGATGTTGAACCACCTACTGAAACTCAACCACAAGAAACAAATTTGCCAACGGAAGCCCCAGTAGTAACAAAAAAGCCATTAAAAAATAAACCAAAAGAAACAAATAAACCAACGGCAACTAAACCAAAGCAACCAACCGAGACTCCAAAAACTCCAAAAGAAGATAAACCAATCGAGAATCCAAAAGAATCAGACAAACCAACCAAGACTCCAAAAGAATCAGACAAACCAACCAAGACTCCAAAAGAATCAAACAAACCAACCAAGACTCCAAAAGAATCAGATAAACCAACCAAGACTCCAAAAGAATCAGATAAACCAACCAAGACTCCAAAAGAATCAGATAAACCAATCGAGACTCCAATAGAATCAGACAAACCAACCGAGACTCCGATAGAATCAGACAAACCAGTCGAGACTCCAAAAGAATCAGACAAACCAACCGAAACTCCAATAGAATCAGACAAACCAACCGAGACTCCAAAACAGCCAACCGAGACTCCAGTAGAATCAGATCAGCCAACCGATACCCCGACCCCGACTCCAACTCCAACTCCAATAGAATCTCCTCAACCTTCTGATGATGATGATGTTGTTACAGTAACCTCTACTATTGTTACAGTTATCACCCCAGCTTCTGCTGCTGAAACTCCAATTACGAAAAGATCATTTCGAACATTTCCTGTATTATACAAGAGAGGGAATAATAAATTGAGATCAAGAGCATTTGACAATCAAGCTACAGAATTGTTAGTACCGAATTCTTTAGGCACAATATCAAATATACAATTTGAATCAAGAAATGACAATTCTGAAAAGAATCAAATTAAAACCATACAATTTGATGGTAAAGTTGATAAATCGGATGGAACAAAAAATGTTGAATTACCCGATGGTCGATATAGATTATTTTTGGCTGCTTTAAGACCTTTTGGAGACCCTAAAAAGAAAGGAGATTGGGAAACATTTACTTCTTCTATTATTGAGATCAAAAGAGAGTAAGGAATTAGTTTAATAGAATTAATATGGAAAATTTTTTCTTAATAATAAAAAAATGGTGGTATTTATACGAAATGAAATTTAGCGTTTTCATTATTTATTCTTTCCAACTTTTACATTCTCTGCATTAGATTGATACATTCCTTTGTACAGTATATAGAATGCAAATTTTTTCTAAAAAAATAATAAAATAATTTATTTAAAAAGTCAATTTGTAATTATCACGTGATAAAATTTCGATCAGCCAAAAAAAGTTTTGAATGCTAAAATTGAAAATTGTTCTATTTGATATATTTGATATACAAGTAATCATAGTAAAAATAGTGTAACATTTTACGAAAGAAAGCTATTTATTATTTGATAGAAATAACAGTAATAATAATAATATATGCGCTAAATTAGACTATTCTATTTGAGTATTTTATTCATGTTTTCGGGTTTATTTTTATCTAAGTCTTCCACCATGTCTCGAATATTACCCACTAAATTATGAAGTTGAGATAAACCAATAGTTGATTCAGATTTTTTCCAATTATCAGGAAATCTTTCAAATTGATAAATGCTTCTTAAAGTATCTACATCAATTTCTTCTCCTCTTCCATTTTCACTACCAGGAAAACAAAGTAATGTTAAAGAATATTCACCGAATACTTGATATTTTTGAAGAAAAGATAATCCATGAAATTTGGAATTATCTCTAAGAGATTGATCACGTCTTTTAATAAATTGTCTAGCAAAACTTTTTCTTGTTAATTTATTATTTTCATTTTTCTCTGAAAATAATGAATCAAGTAATTCAGGTGAAATTTTTCTATAATCTTCACTTAAATCTTTATCGGGACGTGTTAATGATACCGGGTGTTCTATCGCGTCATTGAATAAATCTTCAAGTGATCTTTATTTTTTTAAAAAAAAGTATTTTTTTTTTATTAATAATGAATTAAAAAGAAAAAGCGTCTTTTTTTTTACAAAAAAAAAATAAAATATATCTACTTACAATTCACCTTCTCGAGTTTTTCCTATCAAATAGGAACCTGCATGAGACAAAATGAAGGCTATAAACTTTGAAACATTAAAACCTTCATTTATTGCTTCGATCAATTGATTTGCCGTAATATTTTTCCCATTTCGAGGTCTATTTTTATTTAAAACGATAATAAATATTTTATTATTGATAAATAATTAGAAATAAAGATTACGATAACTTACAGATATCCATGATTAGCGAGTGAATTTAATGCGGGACAAGGACTTCTTGAATCATTTGGTCCTGGAGCTTGATATTCGTGTTTTTCCATCTTTTTTTTTGAACGTTTTTAAAGAATTAATGAGGAAAAAAAACAAACCTATATTTATACATAAAAAAAAAAATATTGTTTTCCATAAAATCCAAGCCCCTTTCTTTTAGTCATTTGATTTAATAAGTAAAAAGAAAATGGGTAAGTTTTATTAAAATTTTGTAAACTATTCTTGATATGAAAAATAATTCAAAAATGATGAATTTTTTGATTTCTAACTATAACATAATCGGTCAATAATTTCCCTTTGTACCGATTAAAAGATAATTGAATGACCAATAAGTAGTTCATAATTTATTAACTGATCATAATGAGATCCTTTTTAAAGAAATAAATTTCCTTAAAACGGAATGGACATAATTCTAACGTCATAATCTAAACCAAGTTATAACAATAATTTAAATTTCACTTTATTTATTTATAGAAAGTGACTCATGTAATAACAATTGGATTACAAGCGTAATATACAAAATCTCACTAAGAAAAAAAGAAATAGTGCCGTACTTTACTATCGGATTTAAGATCCGCTCACGTGAATAACGTGAATAAACATTAGCTTATTAGCTTCGCATAATACAAAATGGAATACTGAAAGACAACAACACAACAACAACAACAACAATAATAAAATTTATAATAATTGTTTTCTTTTTATAATTGACTCCAATATTTTCCCATGATAAATTTTACTTTCACAATATCATATGATAGAAACATTATTTAAACAAAAAAAATCACATTTAGATCGGGAACCCACTAACCCATAATCCAAATTATTTAATTTTAAAACACCAAATTATTTACCACTTCCTTGTGTTAATACTCTATATAGAATGTCCAATGAAAATAAATAAATTTTAGTTATTATAATGTCAATAAGGAAGTAAATAAATAAATATTTTATTTTTAACAAACCGGTCCTTTTTTTTAAAGATATCATTCAAAATAAACTTTTAAAAAGATTTTCGTATTATTATGTTTAAGAATTGAAGTGGCCATCCACTTGTGAAAATTTTGATTTCGCGTTCAAATCATAAGATTAATTATGGCAAAAAAAAAAAATTCATTCAATCTTGATGTAAGCAAATTTGGTTGGATCCGTTTTTACTTTTTATTGTCGACATGGATTTGTCAATACTAACACAAACAACAAATTCTATACTTTAAAGCAACTAAAATGTAAGTTGGAATTACAATTCCTTTGAAGACATAAAAAATGAAAGAATTGAGGACCTTCAAATAAATGAATTCAAATGGAACACCCAACTAGTGATTGTCCATATTACGTTTTTTTGTTATTTTATCGACAGTTTCCACTTAACGCAAGCACTGTGATTCCACTCCACCCTTATTTACTATTGTTGATTCATGTTGGAGATCTTCAAAAAGATTCAAAACTGGTCGCACACACCTCTCAATTATGAAATCGAACTGACATATATTCTTTTCTTCCCTAAAAAATTATATTTCTCATATATTTTTAAACAAATGGAAAATGTATTATAGACAACAAAAATTGCTCTTGGTTTGTTACAAAACCAAAAGTTTATTGTCTACAAGAGCAAAAGAAGCACAAGTCATCATAATTGGCACGCAAAAGATGAGCGAATTGTAACTACAAGTGATAAATGGATTGTGCTATCAAGACAAGAACATGTTCGAGAGCTCTTTATCTCTCCAAAAAGTACTTGACAAATAAGGAGAACTCATCCCAAAATCAAATTATAAAAATCAAATCTAATCTAATAATGCCTCGCTACACATGTTCACGTCATTCCCACTATAACGTCCATTGGAATTGGGCTATGATGGACGAGCTGGTTGACATACGCCGAGACAGAAACTGTACCTACCACAATATTAATGGTAGAAGCCGCCATGATTTTTGGGAGAATGGATATTTGGCACGTTTAGCAAAGAAATTTCTAGACAACTACTCCATAGGCTATGGATATAGATGCCAATAATGATAGCAATGATGACGACTTCAACAGGAATTTAATTTTCTTGTTAAAAGATTTAGAAAGCAAAAACAGTTAGTCAGGCACAGTGTTAATAACTGAATACTAGTAATAATATTAATTATCTGTTAGTTTTGATTGAACAAATTTTAGATATCAATGAAGATAACGAAGATGACAATGAAGATGAATCCTATCTATTGGACATGTTCGCAATGAACTTCGGATCTTGGGAGTCCAAAGTAGCTAAATACAAAAATTTGATAGATTGTCACGTACATCTAATATATAACTAAACGTGGTGAGAAGCATGGAAGAACAAGGCAAAATCAACAAACCATACAATTATGGATCATTGGACAGTTAGACTGCAAAGAATTGGATACGTCCCAATTACTCAGTCTGGAAACAAAGAAATAGCAACCTTCAATTCCACGTTGATTTGAAGGGTTTCCCGTTGAGATTCAACCCTTGTATATTATGCTCGTAATAAAGGGGATTCTATTTAAAAAAGCGTGAATAGGAAGACGTATATATATGAAGTACCCTCATCAAATCATTTATTTGCAAGGGTTTAGGTTTGAGAAAGAGCTTGGTGAAATCAAGGACCTATTGGTGCAAGTCATTGCACAAAATTCTAAGCAATAAAATGTTAAATTGAGCATTCCAATTGGCAAGTGCTACTATTTAACTTGATTTTTGCGCTCAAAATTATATGTTAAATTAGTCTAAATTCGTTATAGATTTAAGACGAATTTTCATTTCTTAAATTTTATTTTATGTTCCATTTGTCTTTCAAATAAATAAAATATTTACAAATTATTCTCAAAGATACAAAAAGAAAGATCTAATCCAAAACCAATAAATTTGATACATCACGTCTGTATAAAGCAAGATTGTATAAATAAAAAGTAGTTATTACTTATCAGTCACTGGAAATGCCGTCAAACGTTTGTTAAGTTCGACTCACTTGATTCGACTGTGGATATACAGGGATATGTATTAAAAGTTTTGAAATTATTCCTAAAATAAGCAAAGTTATGGCTACATAAATTCATCGATCGGAATATATACATCTTTTCACATTTTTCACACAAACTTTGAGATAGAAAATAAGGTAATAAAGGGTGTATTATACCTTTTTACATCAATACGTTCAGTTAATCAACCGCGACTATCTTTTAAATTTAATTTTTTTATGATAATGAAGTTGTAAGCAAGGAAAATTATATAAGGTATTTGTTTTGATTATTAATGAGTGATCGATTTTTTTTTATTATATTTATCAATTCTGGTATTCTGATTTGTACATGTCGCTTATACACGAAAATTATGAGATGCGGGTTAGTAATGCACATACAGAATAATAGTATGCTAAGCTGAACGCTAAGCACCCTAAAATATTCTGGAGAATTGTTTTTAACCTGTTGTGGAGATACTATAAATATTTGAAGGAATTATTATCATCATCATTTTACGTCCGCTGTGTTTCAGGATATCGAAAATTTATATACAGTATATCATATCATCATATTCAGAGTCGAAACCTCGTTCGCTTCCCATTTTTCTTGAGCATATCTGAAATCGTCTACAGCAGTAACGCATTGCTATCCACAACAGGTCCCATAATTTTTATTCCACGTAATATATCCTCAATATAGAACTTAAACACTGGATTCTCACGTCGATTTGGACTATGTAAGCCTGGCATTTTATATAACGATAAAAACAGCTGACATAAACAAACTGAACCTGATTCAAAACTGTGGGATATTTGTTAGGTTATTGCTTTTAATGCTATATTTCGTAAACGATTTCTTCAGGCTGCGGTACGACGAGAACAACCTCAATTTATCTTTTTACACTCCTTAACGAAGTCCACGAGAGCTAATTACGGGTCCTCTTATTAAACTACATCTCTTTTGTTATTTTGGAGAAGGTACATCCATTAATTTTCATTTTGAATATGTCAAAATCAACCTTTATACAAGTCATCATATAAAAGTTCGATGAGTATATGTTTTTTAATTTCTTCCACGGTTGCATTTTTAGTAAATCAATCATGTGACTTAGCTAATAAAAAAAAAATTGGAAGATCATCTTTCCAAAAAAAAAAAAAATGTTCTCTTTAACTCGAAAAGTCTGTCCGATAATTTCACGAATGCAACAAGTATTTTCTCCTAATGGATTTTCTTCATTCGGACTTTTAAATTTTCAAAAGTAAGAAAGATGAATTTTAACGACAATATAAAGTAATTCACAATTTTTAAATTACTAATCACCATTCACGGCAAGACCATCACAAACGACAAATATCTTTGGAAACGGAGTTCGTTTTGTAACATATGGAAGAGAGTATCAACCAAGTAATATAGTAAGAAAACGTAGACATGGGTTTTTAGCAAGATTACGAAGTAAAAGTGGAAGAAAAATACTTACAAGACGACGTATGAAAGGTCGTAAATATTTATCACATTAATACGGATCATTATTATTTATATTCAGGTTTGTTTTAAAAGTTGTAATTGTCCATTTCAATTTAAATACTGATATAAGTAACAGTTTATATAATATTGTTAATTAAAAGATCAAGGATTTCAAAACTTTTAAGATAACGTTTATTATTTTCAAATGAGGTGGGAAAGGAGATTATTACATTACAAACCCGATACTTGACCATTTTATTCTTTCTCAGTTTGTTATCGGAAAGCTGTATTATTACCATTATCGTGTGAGATGATCAGAATTTAAAACAATTCAGTATGAAAAAAATATATTATTAAAAACCATTTACAAAGATAATTAGTTAATCTTTAGAAGAACAAAATGAAAATTTACGAATTGGTTTCCTCAAAGAACACATATTTTATTATACCGTATTTCTCAGCACTGATGGAAGAAAGAATGAAGAATTTAATATTATAGAAACCGTGAATAAAGTTAATGAAAAAAAAAAAAAAGATTCATAAACTACCAAGTATGACAGAATCTCCACGTAAAAACATCTTGCTAATGAATCTATCCTTGTTAACCGGCTTGGCCTTCTTACCTTTACCGGCCTTTGGCGTTTCCGTCCACATCTAAAAGATAAAAAGATGATTAGAATTATACAAGAAATTATAAGTCAAATGTAAATGCATTTTTAACATACTTCTTTAACATTTTCCAACACCATATTACAATGTCGGTCAAATGCTTTAACACGAGCGAGTAACTTTCGATTATTCCTACAGTTTATCAAGATTTGAGTATTATTCTTGACTGATTGTTGTAAAACCGATAAAGGACCAGTATTGAATTCGTGCTCCTCAAGTTGACGGAGCTCTTCCTCGGTCATTTCTGCCTTTGATTTTCCTGCTGTAGTACTATAAAACAATTTTCAAATTAGATCCAAAGACTCTAACTTTCCTATTTATTATTTCATATTTCACATATTTTAAATATAGAAATGAAACCAAAAAGAGTTTTTAAATCAAGATAATATATAATATACCTCATTTTCTGAATTTTTTGTTAGAAGTCAAACGTAAAAATATTTTTTATTTTTTTCTTGAAAGCGAGGTACCTCAGAACTCAGTGTCACCTTTTGATTTCACGTGACTTATGCACGAAAAATTTTCAGTTTTACCAATCAATTTGGCAATTTTTTATTGGTAGACCGGTTAAACATAAATAAATATTTTTTTTTTTTCCTCACATAAAAATTAAAAAATGGTTGAAAAATCAAACTTGGTCGAAAAATCAGACTTGGGTGAAAAATTTTCAAGTGCAATAGAAAAATTATGGAAATCATATCAAAAAGAAACTGCACAAAATCTTAAACTTATTGATGCATATTTAGTTTTTATTTTATTTTCTGGTATTTTTCAATTTACATATTGTGTAATAGTAGGAACTTTTCCATATAATGCTTTTCTTTCTGGGTTCATTTCATGCGTTGGATCATTTGTTTTAGCAGGTAAAAGAAATAAAAATTTAATTTTAAATAATAACTATATAAAAAAAAATTATGATTATTTTTATAAAATATAATTTCATTTTACAATAGTTAATTTACGGATGCAAACCAATCCAGAAAATAGCAATGAATTTAAGGGCATATCCCCAGAAAGGTAATAATAATAATAATAATAATAATAATAATATAATAATAGTTATATTTTTATATTATGATTACTTAAATTTATTCATTTTTTTTTTATAGAGCTTTTGCAGATTTCGTCTTTAGTAATATTCTACTTCACTTTTTTGTTGTGAACTTTATAGGTTAAAAAATTTTCAACCAGTAATTAATTTTTTGTTTAGTAGTTCAAAACTTTTAAAAGTAATTATAATTAAATGAATAAATGAGTTGAATGAGTTGAATATTAAAAAATTTTTTTATTGGTTTTCTATTTTTAAAAATGCAAAGTGAAATATTAAATTTACATGAAAATTTATTCGAACCTATTGTAAATGTGAAACTTTCTATGCTTAAAATATACATTATTGTTACTATTATGAAGCACTATCACATAATAACTAAACCCCCAAGATAATAATAAAAAATTTAATTTAATTCAATTCCTCCTGTTTCGAAATTTTGGTGATTGTAATTCTGCACTTTCAACACCCTTAATAGTTTCGAATCCGTCTATTAATCCATCTATATCAATTTCTTCAGATTTCTTTACGCGAACTTGTACAGCATCATCTAAATGACCAACTGGCCCGAGATATTCTAATTCGGGAATTCTTTGAGATAATCCTTGAAGGTAGGTTGCTGGAGATGGTTCAGGAATGACACGTGTGATTAAATTAATCGCGAAGTAATAATAATTTTCGAAGTCAGGTTTATGAGGAGCGAATACTTGAACGTCACACATTTTTGGAAAGTAAGTTGATAAAGTTTTATAACGGAAGTGATTTATATTTTATAGATTTGAAATTTTAACCTTCACAAGGGTTGATAGTCCTTTACAAGGGTTAATAGTTGATTGTATGTTTAATTGTATGGAATACGTTGGTTATAATACTTTGATTATATGAATTCCGATTGTATGAAGTAAAAATGAGTTTTATGATGATATTTTGTAAATTGTAACTTGTTAATTTACTAAATGAAATTGTTAACTTGTTGAGTTAGATTTTGAAGAAAGAAATACTGTTTATATATAAGTTTTTTTAACATAATAATTAAGTCACATTGTATATAACAATATGTTCCATGACACATTCTAGGTATGTAACGAATTACCTTTTTTAGTAGTTTCACAATACTTTATATAGTTATTAATTACGCATAAAGATTACCGCAAAACGCCGAGCATTTCCAGATTTTTCCAAAAAGGTACCATATTACCATCATTTAAAATGGAATGTGCATGATTTTCGATTTAACATTTCGACATGGAATTTCCTAACATCGGAGAAAATTGTTCCTTTAAAGGTTGCTCTCAGCTTGGTAAATATTTACTATAATTTATATTAATAATTTTTTTCTCCGATACAGTATTTTATTTGTTAAATATTTATGGTAGAAGTTCACCTTATATAATTCTTTTTCTTTTTTATTTTTCTTATTTTTTCAATAAAGACTTTTTACCTTTTTGGTGTGGTAGTTGTGGAAAAAAGTATTGGTACGTAAGGGCAGTTATTTTTTTTATTAAGATTTACCTTCATTGATTATTGAAATTTAAAATGATTTGTCCATTTTTTCTATTTATAGTTTAGACCATAGATATCCAAATTCTCATGAGTGTTTTCGATGGAGTGAGAATGAAAAAGTTAGTTAATTAAAAATATCCAATTAATAATACCCAAAATTAACAAATTAAACAATTTTGATTGTTTATTGTTTGATTATCTATCTGTACTTCGGAACATACGGATCTTTTAATGAAATGATTTTTTATTTATTCCATGTATGTAAATGTATTAACTTTGATTATTTTTTTTTATCGTACAAAATCATGATAAAAAAAGAATGTTCAATTATGTGAAACTTGTTCATCCATGATTTTGAACCCTGAAGGGAGATCAGTTGAACAAACGGTATTGTAAAAAATTATTGATTTTATTATTTCCTATCTTGATTTTGATTTAACTCTTAATGACATTTTTTTGAGGCTTTATTAATTTTTATTTTATTTTATTCAAAATTAGTTAGAAGAACACTTGAAATCAAACTGTGTATTACATCTTTTATCTTCTATACCTATTGAGAAACAAAAATGTTTTATAACAGAATGCAAAAACAAATCAGAAGGTGGTGTGATGGTTTATGTAGTATGTGATGGATGCGGGGAGGCATTCTGTTTAAAGTAAGATAGAATGTTTCTCTTTATCTTTACAAAAAAAAGGAAATAAAAAAAAAACTTTCATCTTTCATTATTAAAAACTTCATTATTAAATAAATTTCTTTTTTTAAAAAACAAAGACATCGGCATCCACCAGCCCATCAATGCGAATCGCTTAATGTAGCATCTGATGAAAAGGCAAAGAGACGCGTGAAGGCTGAAGAGCTCATTTCAAAATACAAAAAGAAATCTGCTAGCAGTATACTTAAATCTGACAATATTAGTTCTTCATCAAAAAATGTTACAACAAATAAACCAAAAAAGAAAAATAAAAAGATTGAAGTAATGAAATTAAAGTCCAAGGCTCAGGGATGAAAATTTATTGTTTGCTCTCTTTTTTTTGTAAAAAAAAATTTCAAAAGTTGATTTGGAAAAAATTCGGAAATATTTTAATTGTAGGGCGATTCAACTATACCTGTAAATGCGCGTGTTTATCTTTCGGTTGATTTTCCACTTGATTCAAAAGTATCCAATAAGCCCTTATTTTTTAACAAAGTAATTTCTAATTATAAATTAATCAACGTAATTTTGATTAAACAAGTTTTAACTCAATCATTCTCTTTTCCCGTAATTAGGAATGGACAATCGGAAAAGTTTTGGACAAAGTAGCAACTGTGGGTAAAATTACTAATAACAATAACAAACTTCCATTGGATGATCCAAATGTAAGATTTTATTTAAAGCTCCTTCATTCATTCATGATATCTAATTTTGATTTTTTGATTTTTATTTAGAGACTGATTTTGGTTAATAAAGAAACAGGAAATAGTTTTGAAATGGATAAGAAATTGGGAGAAGTTGTAGAAAGTGGGGATGATATTTATTTAGAAAAACTTGGATCGATTAATTAAAAATATTTTTTATAAATAACCACAAGGTAAGTTATCATATTATTAAATTATGGGGAAAAGTTATATTTATCATCCAATAAAAAGATTAAATTATTAAATTTGCAAAGATATTTGGTGGTTTCTGATGTAATTACCTACATTCAAATTAATATACAATAAGGAATTAAAATATTTGGTAGTTTCCGATATAATTGTCTCCCTGCCCTTACAATAGTTAAGATATTTGGTGGTTTCTGCAATTGCAATCATCATACAATAGAAAATTAAGATATCAGTAGTTTCCGGTAGTTTTGATGTAATTATCTATTAATATACAATAAAGAATTGGTAGTTTCCGATATAATTGTCTCCTTTCCCTTACAATAGTTAAGGTATTTGGTGGCTTCGGACGTAATTACCTCCTTGCCCTTGCAAATTGCAATCATCATACAATAAAGAATTAAGATATTCAGTAGTTTCCGGTAGTTCTGATGTAATTATCTATTAATATACAATAAAGAATTGGTAGTTCCCTTGCGGTTTCTGATGTAATTACCTCCTTACTCTTTCTTACAATGACGTTACATACAATAAAAGGATTCATTCAATTGGCAAATTACGGGGAAAGATATAACTGGTTTATGATGTAATTACCTTCTTACCCTTACGATGACGTTATGGTTATCATACAATAAAGGATTCAATTGGAAAGATATACTGTAACTGGTTATGATGTAATTACCTCCTGATCTTACAATCATAAAATAAAAGGATTTAATTGGCAAATTAAGAAAAAAATCATTTAGGTCCAGTATTAAGTGTTTGCACGAAGATTTACGACTTTTCTATCTCGCGGTGACATGTTTACCGGCACTGTTTCCTGTACCCCACTAAAAAGTACTCTGCCCAAACGGAATCCTTGTTTAAACCGGATTAAAATCCTGAATTATTTGTATACTATTAAAATTTTTTTTTTTTTTTTTAAGAATTTTCCGTTTATTATAAATTAATGCTTTTTTGCTTAACGCCAGTGTATTAACTTTAAAAAAAAAAATTTCTTTTTGGAAATAATGAAAAATCATCATCATTAAACATGAAGCGTGTAACCCCTGCTTTTGAAATAAAGTTTCGGGGTTTCGGCAATTGGCGGAGGATCTTAATCTAACTTCTCTTTGACAGGTTTTCATATGTTGTTTTTTAAAACTCTTTAAAATCAATTTAATCAAAAAAAA